ATAAATTAAATTATAAAAAATTAAATTAAAAAATTACACAAAAAATGAGGAATTTCAAATAGTTAATTCGATGATAATATCGATATATTTTTGTCAAATTTTTATGATATCTTCAAACATACATTTTATTCAAAAATAAAAACATCATCGCTTTCTCAAAATCACATAAAACTATATTATAACATCGACTGAGATAAAGAATAAAATGAAATATTAAAATCACGATGTATCTCGCTGCATTGCGCGAGTACACTTCTAGTATATATATATATATATATATATATATATATATATATAGGCCTAATCAAATGAGAACTAATTAATTTGTGGTAACTGTGAGGTCCAATCTCAACCACAAATCAATAAATAACTTTGGAAATTTATAATTTTGATAATTTTTAATTAAAATTTTAATACAAAGACATTTTAAGTATTTTATACTCCTCTCTCCTATCTCCTATCTCCTATCTCCTCTCTTCTTTCTTCGTCTTCGAACCTTCGTCCCCCGGCCTCCGGCCACCGTCCTCTGGTGATACCACAGTGGTATCACAATGCATCTTATATGTGATTGGGTATCACACTGTGGTCGTTTGTGCGGTCGATCAGATATGTAATACAGTGGTATCACAATGCATCTTATATGTGCTTGAGTATCATACTGTGGTATCACCGGAGGATTGTGGCCGGAGGCCGGGGACGTAGAGAGAAGAGAGGAGAGAGAAGAAAAAATACCTAAAATGTCCTTGTATTAAAATTTTAATTAAAAATTACCAAAATTATAAATTTTCTAATTTATCTATTGATTTGTGGTTGAGATTGGATCTCACAGTTACCACAAACTAGTCAGTTCTCCCTTCAAGAGAAATGACTGGTTGAGAACCAACAATAGCAGATTCAGCTACGGCCACCGCTGCAGGGGTGTGAAGATCAGCAACACCCAACATCAAATCCTGAGTTGGTCAAGTGGCAAAACAAAATTAAAAAAGAAAAACTCAAAATCAAAATTGCAAGGTTTGTCTTAAAACAAGTGTCAATATTTCTATTATAGTTTGTCACAAAATATAAGAGTCCAATTTAAAAAATAAGTGTTTATTTTCCAATTCCACAATTAATTATGAGATGGAGAAATCCATTTCTTCCAAGGGTAAATTGTAATTTACTTGATTAAAAAATTGTAAGAATTACATATATCTAAACACTGTGGACATTTACTTTAGCATGGAATAGTAGTTTTGAGGAAGGTGTTTTAAGTAATAACCGAATGCATTGAATACCCTCTAATAACAAAATAGGTAGGATCTTGTCTGTTTGATCAAATAACCAGACAAAACCAAACGAACCCAGTGAACTCCGCATGAAGTAGGGACTGGGGAGGGTAAAATGTAGGGAGACCTTGACTCTACCGGACCTCAAGGAATATATATGCTTTGAAGACCCCCTACTTGCAAAAAAGGTTATTTGAAGAATTCTTCGGGGAGTCTTAAGCTACACCGTAATTTGTATGCACAAGGAGTAAAGATGGCTATTACATACTATTTCGATGTATTCTGATTCATCCCCTGTGAGTGCCTCAATATCATAATTCTTAGAGTTCTGCATATAAAAGTGTACAATTTGGTAAGATGTCTATACACATATGTTGAACAATTAACCCGATAATTCTTTTACTTGATACATTGTTATACATTGTTCACCCTCTGCAAACCGTGGTAGCAGGTTATACATGTTTACAATCTTGAACCTTTTGATGAGAGTTTTAAAAATAACCAATTTAACAGGTAGACTGTTTGTAGTTTAGGATGAATAGTTATGTAATATGAGGCAGGAACTGAAATAGTTTTATCTATAGAAATGTTGAATATGCAGTATGCATACCATATGATTGATCTGCAACTCGTTTACTTAAAAGTGTATTCGTGTGTTACAGATCAAGAAAATGAGCTCTAGTCACGTGTTGGAATGATAAATATAATATGAGAAAACATGTTATGACGTATAATTTCGACACGAGAATACAAACAGGATCATGGTTGATCGTTTAAAAGCTTTTCTTGTAGTTACAATTACGTTATTTCTAAAAGTGTTTGCTCAAGAAGGTTTCCAAAATTGTTATATTTGAAGATTCCAACTTACATATTATTTGAACTTTGAATATTGTTATTAAACTATGTTTTATAGGGGCAAATTGCATGAAAATGTAACGTACTTTGATTTAATTTCTATTTTGGATAACGTATTTTCAAAACTTACATTTTGATACATAAAATATAAAGTTTTAAATATTAAAGTACCTAGGTAACCGGTTGAAACATTAACCGGTTACCATGCTGATGTAGTATGATGTGGTATCCAACTTAGTATTATTCACTAAAGCATTAACCGGATACCATATCACTCGCCATATTAGCATGGTAATCGGTTAATGCTTCAATCGGTTACCCGGGTAATTAAATATTTAAAACTTTACATCTTAGGTACAAAATGAAAGTTTTAAAAATACGTTACTAAAAAAAAGAATCAAGTTAAAATACATTATTTTTTCATACAATTTGTTTTTTTTTTATATAATAGGGGATGTGATTTTTTATAATAAAACAAAAAACAAAATTAATACTACCTACTAAAAATGGAAATTCAAAATTTATATAAAAATAAATAATATTATTAACTTATGTATTAATTTATAATTTAGAAGATATTATTCTAAATTAAAAGCAAAAGGGTTTTGGTCTCTTTAAGGGTGTTTGGGATTTTTTATAAAAAACAATTTATTGATTTATAACAGTACGACACTGGTAATAAAAAAATTTGAGTATTTGAATAAACAGGTTCTTAAATTTTTAAAAAAAAATTAAATTATTTTAATTATAATAAATTAATAAAAAAAAACATACATTGTTTAGGATAAACAATCTAAACACCCCCCTAAAATCCTCAAATCTTGAAAAATATGATATTTTATTGGATGATTTGATAAAGATTTCCGGTGATACGTTTGAACAGAAAAATATGATATTTTTACGGCGGGCAAAAGGGTTTTGGTCTGTCTAAATCCCCAAATCTCGAAACCAATCTCCAATCTGATTTTTTCCATCAGGGTTTCCAGTGTACCTGTTTATTTATGCTTCTTGATCGAATACTGAACGATCAAGAAGAAAAAGAATCATCATCGAAGATGGAAGGCGGTGGAGTTCTATCTGCTACCGACCAGCAAACAATGGTTTCCTCTTTTCTTGAAATTGCTGTTGGCCAGACTGTCGATACTGCCAAGCAGTTCTTGCAGGTATCACTTCCTCTTTCAATTTGAGTATGCTTTTGATAAATCTGCCCTAATCGGACGTGAAACATTTGATTTGATGAAATGGCACTCTGAGCATTTGGTTTTGATAAACCAGAATTAGGGTTTATTGTTGTCTGTTGATGATGAAAAAGGCAAACAACAGTCGATTGTTTGATTCTACTTGTAGCAGTCGACAAACTCTGCAGGATTGCTGCCATTTGGGATCTACAATGGTTAAAGAATATTTCTGGTGGCATCTGGGTTATGCTACCTAGGGTTTATATCTGTTTAAGATGGTGCATCACATGGTTTCATGTCATCCATACAAAATTGCTATATAAAATAAAAGGAAATTTGTTTTAGAATTGAAATTATTGCCTAGAATGCTGTAAATAAGTATCTATCTCTGCCAAAAGAAGAGATACAAATACAATTTGGCTTTTGAATTAGGGCTTCTGTAAATAAGAACATTATTAGGGTTTGCAAAGTTCTTGGTTGGACCTTTAGCATCAAACAGTTTCCCTTTTTCTTTGAAACTATTTTTGGATTGTTAGAACTCATGTTTGACTCGAATCAAGTTATGGTTTATTTTTGTGATGTCAAATAATGTGCCGATCTTATATGCATCTTATGTAAGCTACTAGGCCTTTAATATTGCTATATAGGAATGCAAGCAGTGTTAGATCTTGATGTTATGTTGGGCAACTTTTTGGGGTTCACGGTATGTTATATTACGTGCTCCACAAAGATCACAAGTTCTATTTTCAGTTGGGACGTGGATGTCCCACAAGAATTGTAGTGTTTCTTTTTGTGCGAAACATGTTAGGTTGAAACATCAATTTTTATGGGTCATCGCTACAACAGGAGGTCTTTTGGGGTTCACAATATGCTATATATGTGTCCGTAGTTCTTGTTTGAATACATATATTGTCTATGAAGTGATTTTATAACGATGATGGCGATCCTTAAATTCAGGCCACAAACTGGAAGCTCGAAGAAGCTATTCAACTTTTTTATGTAGGAAATGAAGTTGGAGCTGCTTCGTTATCTCCATATATTCCACCACTAGAAAATGAGGCTGTCATATCCGACCAAGGTTTAGGGTAAGTAACTATTGTGTTCCTAATAATATGTTTTTGTGTGTCTCTGTGTGTTATAGTATTCATTTAATCGCAAGTTTTCTAAACTTGGGTCGTATTCTTACTTCAGAGTGTCGGATAATCACATGGGATCCAATAATTTTATAGAAAATGATGGCATTGACGTTCGTGCGCCTCTACCGGTTAAAAGGGACGTCCTCTACGACACTTCGATGCTTTACGGGTTTGCTACTTTGCTCATTTTCATTTTCTACCTTCTAGTTTTTTCGGTTATGCAGTTTTAATGAATTGCTAGGTTAGTTACCTAATAGGATGCATGAACGTTTTTTAGCGCGGTTTACAAAATTTCATGCATATCCTAAAGTTCGGTGGATGTGTTTATTGCATATTAATGAGGCTGAGTTCGTTCACGCCATTTATTAACTGCTTATCGAGCTACTTTATTCTGTGCATCTTTCATTTTATTCTTCCTCTTAATTATGTCTTTAGTGCATCAAGATTGGGTGTTTCTCCACACGAACCTCATACTACGGTTCCCTTCCGCAATTTTGAAGAGGAATCGAAACGTCCAGGAGTCTGGGAAGCAGACCAAGGATCTACATCAACGGCTGAAACTTCTAGAGATAATCTTGCTTCCTTGTATCGTCCTCCTTTTGCTTTGATGTACCATGGATCCTTTGAGAAGGTAACTTATAATCGACCTATTTTTTACCAAAGTGTAAAGATGAACACGCATCTTTATCTTTCGACTCTTCTGAGTTTTTTTTATCCATAATACGAATACATCCCGACGTTTTTTTTACATTTTCTTACATGTTCAGGCAAAAGAAGCTGCTAATGCCCAAGATAGATGGCTCCTGGTGAACTTACAATCTACCAGAGAATTTAGCTCACATATGGTATATATATATATATATATTGCCAGCACCTCTAACACATATAACACTTGCATACAGACGTAAAACGGTTGTGTTCCTAATTGTTTGTAAATAATTGTGCAGCTTAACCGAGATACTTGGGCCAATGAAGCTGTTTCTCAAACGATCACCTCTAATTTCATCTTCTGGCAGGTTATTTTCATCTATAAAAATTGCCATTATTTAGAAGCAACATTGGTATAAATGTTATTTTAGCTTCAAGTTTGGTGATTGTTAAACATGTTGCATGTAGGTCTGCGATGACACCGAAGAGGGCAGCAAGATAAGTACATACTACAAATTGGATTCTGTTCCTGTTACTCTTGTCATTGACCCTATCACTGGTCAAAAAATGCGCTTATGGCGTGGAATGATCCAACCAGAAAGTTTGTTGGAGGTACGTCGATTATTTTCATTCAGATCCTATGATACATAGTATCGCGACATTTTGTAACTTGAGGTGTTTTGATGTGAATTATAACATTATCTTGATGATAGGATCTGTTACAATTTTTGGATGGTAGCCCGAAGGATCATCATTTCAACTTGTCTCATAAACGTCCAAGAGAAAGTTCTAACACTTCGCCTCCCAAAATCCAAGGTTTGTCGTTTCTATAAGATTGAAAACTTGGATTTTGTTTGGGTTTGTACAACGATATATGATGAAGAAGCAACTTATGTGACTGCAGATGAAACGGATGAAGAGGATGAGGAAATGAAGCTGGCACGAGCTTTATCGATGGGAACAATGGAAGATTCGGATGGCATTAAAGAGAAAGAAAAGCATAATGTTTATCCGCCATTGCCTGAAGAACCGAAAGGTGATAGGAACTTGGTTTGCAGGGTTGGAGTCCGTCTTCCAGATGGAAGAAGGCTTCAAAGGAATTTCTTAAGGTCTGATCCGATACAGGTAAAGTTTTTTTCTTGTTAAGATTAAAATTCATATAAATATATCTCGAGAAAGCTTATGTTGTGTGTTTGCAGTTGCTATGGTCATTCTGTGCTGCAAACTGTGGTGATGAGCGGCCATTCCGATTGACTCATGCAATTCCGGGTGCGGTGAAAGAGATGGACTACGGGAGCGTGTCGACATTTGATGAATCTGGTCTTTCGAATTCCATGATTTCGGTTACTTGGAGCGAAGTTTAACTGTTGTTTAGCTGCCTGCTAAACCTGGAAATGGAGTTTCTATTGACTTGTATTTGTGTATATGCATACAAACCCTTTGCAACTGGTAAACACTTTTAAATTATGAGCACCCCCTCTATGTTTATTGGTTTATCAAATGAAGGCAAAACAACCTCCAGATTGTGCTTCATACATTATCATGTCTTTTATTATATGCCCCAAAAAACAGTTAAATTTTATAGGATCATGTTTGATTTATTTGTGGCCCAAAAACTACAAATTGGAGTCTGATCTCCATTGATATTTTGTTTAAATTGTCTGAGTAAATTAATTTGTCTGTGCCTGTGTAAGTTAATTTGTCTGTATAAACTGAAAAAAAAATTTGTTTGGAAGAGTTCTTATAGATAGAAAAAGCATGTTTTTTACTTGGAAGGGGCAGATTCTGAAGGAAAAAAAAAACTTGGCTTTCTACATAAAGCTCCTTAGAAACTTACTAAATAAGCCACTTCTATATCATCAAACCACCACCAAACAGTTCAACCAAATAAGCAATATGTCCCATAAGCTCATTAAGCTGCTAATAAACAGGCCGATAGGCGAGCATCAAACAGATCAAACCATACAATTTCAATGTTAGTTGGTCTATGAGCTATATGAAGATCCTGGACTTGTATTGAACCGCCATTGGTTACTTAACAAGGTCGGATGTGATTTGATTTGTTGATACATACATACATATATACATGCTGATGAAGCGGTCAAAATTCTGTTCTTCCTTAGATCATGCACTTCCATGAGTAATTCTGTTGCTGATGTGCATGAATCTTTATAACAAATAATGCAGCAAAACAGATGGGAGGTTTTATCCAGCACTGTCATCAGATTCCAACTGCTTACGGCTTACTAGCATGCCTTCATCCCAAATTTCAACATACCTACAAAGCATCGACATACAAAAGTTAACGACATAAGGGTGTTTATTGCCAATCGTAAAACTAACCTACTTCCTTTCATTCAAGATTAATCAATTTACAAAGAAACCCACCAACAGGACAAACTGCCTTTTTTTGTTGATTTTCTTTTTCATCCCCTTTCCACATGAATAATAGCACAAGATAACCAACGCCTAAAAGCGAAGGTGAAAACAAGAAGAATGCATCTGCTCTTGCTCATGAAAGAATCGACTTCTATCCTCTATATCATTCTTTCTTTAAAGTTTTACGAGCTTTACATTGTTATCAGAAAAGTCCCACAAGGAAAAATAACAAAAAGTTTGTAATATGTAGATGCCACCTATGGAACCGACGCTTAACGGGCAACCCTAGTGCAACAAGGCTCCTCGGCTTTAGCAAGGTTCAGGAGGAAGTCTTTGTATTATGTAATATTTTCCTTGCACTTCGAAAAGAAATTGTTAATGTGAATCATGGCCATGACCTTGACTTACAACGGAGTACACAGGACAAAAAAAAATTCCTTTTGTTTTAATCATGGATAACCTGCTAGCTTAAATGCCTAATTGAGTTGAGCAGAAACAGATAGAACAGCTAACTTGCAGTTTTAAACTAATTTAAAAAAGTGGTAATAAATTAGCAGCAGTAACAAGGGTGGACAGTGAACGTACAGTGATCAAACTAGAAAAGAAACAAGCAGGTTCCATCAATATGGTAGAGAGGATCAGTATGGTTATCTAGTTGGCACTTCATTAAAAATTCCATGGTGCATGATGGGGTAAAATTCATGGAATTTATGTTGTGAAGCAGAAGTAACAACGCATGGGGTTAAGAAAAGAAACAAGGTATATAAAAATAAATTGATGAACGAATACAGACCTTGACCCACTGACATCAATACACAGAAAGTGCCCATCTCGCCATCCATTTTTAAAATGGCCAAAAAAGATATCACCATTCGTTGAATAGAACCGCCCTTCTCCATTTGCTTTTCCCTTCCAGAAATTCACAAACCACCTATCTCCCGTGTGAAAGTAAAACCATCCCTACATAATAATGAAACCCGTGTGAAAGTAAAACCTCTGAGGATGGCAAGGGAATTCACAAGCAGATAATATATGATATTCCTCATGAACTGGTCTAGAAATATGCCGACTCAGGTAAAAACAAGCCTGAACATGTGACATTCTTACCTTCCCATGCATAACATCATCCCTCCATGACCCACGAAAGACATCCCCGTTGCTGAAGCAAAATGTCCCCAATCCTGATCTCTTACCATAGCGCCACAAACCATCATACATGCTTCCATCGCCCAGTGACAAACGACCCTGTGAAACATGGTTAGTAAGTACTTCGGTACATAATGACAAAAGGTTTAGCACCTTTCACAGTTATATGGGCTACAGTAAGCACCTTCCCTTCAGGAAGACCTCCCTGGCAGCGCCCCACATATATACCTCCACGATAGTTTATCTCCACTACAGGACTCCACTTCTTTTGTGACTCACGTTCAGATTCCTGCATTAGAACAGGCATTCTGTTAGGAAACTAGTGATACGTCCCAAACACAACAAAGCACGATACCATCATGTGATCATTTATCACAGACTTGCATATACTTCAACTTGTAACAAACTTCAATACTGTTCAACGTTGTAAAATAATTGTCAAGCAGGTGAAAAAACTTCATACCATATTATTTATTAGTTTTTATATAATTATAATGAAATGCAGCATTTGCTAAGTTACAATCCATAAGGATTTCTAGAACTTCATGCCAAATAACAAGTGCTAAAACCTAAATTAATCACTCAGTTGACAGATGCATCCTCTACCATCAAACTACGACAATGTTGATCAGGAATCCTGCTCTGCTTGAACCATGATGCATAAATGAATGATGATACAACAATAAAATAACTTTCATCTGTATGCTGATTTGCAAAAGCCATTATATTTAAGTTGACCATAATTAGTGAAAGGGAACTTTTTGAGACAAAATCATACAGAAATAGATGCTTCATTTTCTTAACAGCATAAGGGAATATGCTACTCACCAGCATAGATGCTGCACGGGCAGAAAGTGTTCCGTTCTTCTTAGAACCATCCGGATACACTCTATTCTGACGAGCAGAGACGCTACTGCTAAAATCCATTGCTGTTTGCAAACTAGCATCAGGAGATTCATCAAATGACATGCTTACAGAAAACCGCGTCTCATCCTTCATTTCAGGTTCACTATTTTCCTCCGGATAGTGCATGACCCTTGAGCCATTGGGACCATCTTTCAGGTCTCCTGATAGTTTTACTCCAACAGGAAGTTTATAGATGTTCAGGTTGCCAAGCATTAGAGCATCACCAGACTTATTAGTCTCATTGGCTGCTTCTTCAGCAATAAGATACCCTGGCCTTCGGTTAATCAGAAGCTCCCTTTGAAGTGTTAGCGATCCTAGAAGATGTATATTGAGTTTGTTATTAATTCGGCCTACAACGCTTTTTTTAACTTTGATGAGTGACACATATACACACCGTCAACCATAGTTCAACAAACTGATTCTACCTTCAGCTGATTCATTGTAGAAGGTGGCTTGTGGAAATTCAGCATTACTTTGTTCAGTAACACCATGATCCCTAAGAAGAAAGAAAATCCATGAATTTAAACAAACTTTAAAGATGATATTATAAGGTGCTTAACTAGCACAAAACAACACAACAAACCTTAATAAAGTTTTTGCATCTGTAGCATCGCTCAATATTGACTGGAGTTCTGAAGACCAATTATGAAAACCTTCAACAGAACCACTGATAGAACCTACATTTGGGTTTTCATATTTTTCGGGTTTCATTCCCTGAGGAGAAAATGTACTGTCCAACGAACTATTTTCTTGAATGATATCCAGCTGTGACTGTGGCCTCAAAATGTTGAAAATGTAAGGAAAACGTCGGACCAGTCTAGAAAATATGCCATCTTTTTTAGGAGACTCATGCCTGATGCAACTGAGGATAACATTAGGCAAGCATGTCAAAAGAAAATGAAGAGAAACATGAATGATATATTTGTTAGTTAAAATATAATTGTGGTTAGAAGAGTGCTGAATACTATAATACAATGATAAACAGCAGTTTCCGTATATGGATATAGGGTGTTAAGCAGCCAAAAGAGAGTTCCAAAATATTGTCAATTTACAACTAAAATCACGACAGATATTAGAGATAGAAGGGATATTGTCTCCTTTTCGCAAAAACAGTAGAAGACCCTGTTCCGAATATCTCAACATGATGCTTCTAGCTTTCTACCTATGAGCACCATGGAGTTAAAACTTTATCAAGTAAGAAATTGCAGTACTTCTATTCAAGAAAATAATACAAGAAATGCTGATTGATGGAAAACAATCAATAGTGGCAATAAGCAAAAAGGATACTTATTTTATATAGCATGATCAGAAATTGTACAGTTTTTCCAAATCCACTCAAGTAACCACATATACAGATTGTAACTAGCTGAGATGCATAGGTTCCCCTAGACAAGAAGTAGGGGCTGTTTACCAAACGCTTACCCAGGTAAGTGCTTACCAAGTCACATTACCTTACCGGAAGAATATGGCAAGGACCAAGAATCTTACCCGGTAAGAGCGGGCCAAGGACCGAGAGTCTTATCCGGTACGTGAGGACGATGACTCTTACCACGGTTAGCACTTACCATGTAAATTGTTGTATCCAATGCCATTTTGGTGGACTAAAACTTTACCAGGGGTAAGAAAGTGATAGTGTTGAATTTTACCAGTAAGCGCTTATCGGGTAAGTGTTTTGTAAACAGCCCCGTAGACATTTAACAGAATCCACATTATATTGGAGCTATAGGTGTACCATCTACTTAATTCTCACTCTAGTTTTCATCAGTAAAGCAGTGATAAAAGATTGATAGCCTTTAGGATCCATCCTAATCAGCCTAGGAGACAACTACCTTTCTCTACCTTCCCAATACCACAGTAGACCTGGTCATAATGATTGATTGCACATAATTGAGATTCTACATCGAGATTACAGTTGTGTAGCAACTAAAAACAAGAAACCAAACAAGATATAACCGAACAAAGTAGGACATTCCAATCTACTGAACTGGTTCATAATAAACAACAGGACATGAGTATAATATTCCCCATACTCCCAATGAGTTTACACATGACTCTAGACAGTCATATAGCAACAAAAACCAAGCAACCAAACCAGAAACAACTTCACAAACTAGTACATGTCAATCTAACTAAAAAGGTTTACTAAAAACAACAGGATACGTCTAACAACATATCATAATGAATTTATGCAGGACTTTAGGCAGTTGCATAGCAACTAAAAACAAGCAAAAAACAAGATATAACTAAATAGGCTTACGGAAAACAACAGAACATGTCTAAACATTATATGCCAACGGGTTCTAACATGACCTTGAGAAACTGAACAAGCGTTAGAGTGAGCAAGTGAACCACCAGGAAGTATTTCATTGTACGCACCCACTCAAAAAGCAGCGTTGGTCCTAAATAACCGTAAACCTTGTAAGTACATAATGTACAATCTACCCCATCTATCATCAAAAATCAAAGAGAGTTTATCATTTTTATCTTATTATTAACCCAAATAATCAGTCTTCTAAATCAAGTAACAGTCTTATTTGCAAATCAGCATATAACTGTTACTGTTTAGTTCCTAGATCACTCTGCTTTAGAGGTTGCTTAGTGTATCTGACTGAACTAGCTGGTTTAGATTTCATAGCACAATTTTTGAGACAGAACAACTTCACATAATCTGACATAAAACCAACAGATAAAACCTGTCAGAGAGACCAGGAAGTAACCTACGGCTTTATGATAATTACCCGATAGTGAATATGGTTGTTGCAAATGAGTTGGGACTCATATCCGGTTCATGAACTAAGGAAGTTATAATGTCCCCCTCCCATTCTGCAGCTTGACGAAAGGTACGCAAAATGCCATGCATTTCATGGCTGTCAATGACAGCCGAACTTGCTAGGATAAATACAACAATTCCATTTATGTCCTGAAATTTAAGGCAGGACAGAAACAAAACAAAAAACATGTCATGATGATAAATAAAAAGTGCCCAAATTGTACACTTGGTGACAATTGACATAGACCTGAAAGATTGTATTTCTAGTCAACAGACCTTTACACCCGAGCTAAGGAAAGGGCAATCATATATTGCTTGAACAACCGAAGTTTCAATGTCATAACCAACTCCATATCCAATTTTCGCCTCCTCATAGCCTCCTAAAATCTGGCAAGAATTAATTATTTAGTGGTAAGCAAAAAAGCAGTTGTTAAAAAGAAAAAGTAAAGGTTGGTTCACCAAGTTTGGCACAGTTGCAACATAGATGTCATAGAAAAAAAAAAATTAGGAACAACTCATCAGTCAAGAACTTACCTTTTTGAGGTCTATGACTCCAAGTTCTTTCATACCCTCATGTGGTATGTCTAGAAATTTTCTGTTGTGCTCCTGACAGTGATATAATCAAACAATTACAAGGACAACAAGCATCTGGATATACGAAGTACATGAACTGCTTACAGATGTCAGAACGGAGACTGCATTCAGTGCCATCAAGACAGCATTATTTGCAATTTGTAATGCCTCATCCAAAGTTACGAGGTCTTTTTCTAGAAGTGCATCGGCGTCAACCACTGCAGTGCAGAAAGAAAAAGATTTTTGACAGCTATAGTAGAAAGATAATCACAAGTTTTGTAGCCAATGCTAAGGGTCAAATGCTTCAAGTAGTAATCACAACTGGCTAGTTTGAACCACTGAATCAAGCAAATTGTAGAAGTCCTCTTTACGTGTCCATCAAGCAACAGTGAAATGAAATGAGAGCATGCACCCCACCAACTAAAACAAAAAAATATAATATTTAATTCCACCCAGCTTAACACAAACATGGAAGGAGTAGAAAGCTGTTTTTTCATCTAATCAACTAGGAACTTGAAGTGCCACTTCAATTCCTTCTAGCGAGGAGTCATGAACCCGACACAATGCTTCAATCTGAAGCCATGGTCTATACAAGAAAAAAGCTCACTCAGCATGAAAAACAAACTAATTTGCGTAGTACACAAGAAAAACTGAAGTACAGACCTAAACTATACTAGTCTGTGGTTGCATCTTATAAAGATGCATGATCTGAGCTTATAATCATCATAAAAGATCTACTAAACTCTGCCATCAACTCGTATTATCCAGAAGGAGTGATGGCACTATTAAGATCTTTGACTCTTGGAGGAAGGCACAGAAGGTAATGACATCAGTCACAAGGAAGAGCAAACTTGCATAATACAACTTCCCTGAATTGACAAAAAGTAACAAAAAAGAAAAAAAGCAGATGCATCAGATTTGCCAAATGAGAAACCCATCCCATCTACAGAGTTTGACATGTATGGAGTCTCTGTATGTCGCAGCCATAATGGCATCTATATACATGGACAGCAAAAGGTGTCACCAAGCCAGGGTAGTTGATATACTACAGGTAGCAAAATCCCTTCACCAGTAAATTGGGAGCTACCGATGTGATACCCAAGAGGTAAAGGTCTCTCCATTTCTTAAGAAATGTCACAATTTTGAGTCTCATTACTGTACTTTTAACCAGTTAAAGTAACAATGATGATGATGATGAAGCAGCTAAACTACAACACATTATGTACCTTCATACTATGATTATAGCCTACCACTATCATAATTAACCTCTTAAAACTATGGAATACAACAAAAATCAGAATGCTTTCCAAACCAGTTCCAGATACCTTTTTATAGACACTTCCAACCCCAACCAAGGATCCAACTATATATAGGAACTTAGGAAGCAGGCGTATCAGTAATGAAGGACTCTCAAGTGTGTCAGTTCAAATTCCATAACACTTTTAACTTAATTTAGACTAAACCATTTGATCAGTATGATTGTATGACAGCTTGTAGTGCCAGATGGTCATAAAAGTAATCACAACCAATGGTGTATTTCATTCATTCTTTCAAGAGATATCAGACGAAGTCCGCCTATTTTTGAGATATTGAGTTAGGCGATCCAAAAATCCATTATTAACAATAGAATGATGCTCCTTAATCAGGTATCATACACTGATATATATTTACATTCGAGTTGCACCAGGAGATAACTCTAAATATTTTGTAGAACCTTCCTTCATATTTAAATGGTGCATACGTTTTTTTACATGAAATTGGAAGAATGGCAGCTAAATAAGCTCATGGATTTCATGTGCACGTGTGCATATTTAAACATATTCTCTAGTGGCCAGTACACATGTATTGATTACTGAATTAATGAATTCTATGAATCCTATAAATAAAATTACTATGTTCCAAAACAATTTGACTTGATCTATTTCTGAACATAACAACTTATATTCACGGTCGAAATTGAAGTGCCAGACTTGCGAGCTTACATAAAAAAAACCAAAGGAGATATTTCATGCTGATAACATATGCATACACCTTTTAATGCAGAAAAGCATGAATGCATAAATTAGATCCTGCTGAAAAATTATCAATATCAGAGCTTATTATGTTGAGTACAAAGATCATCTTTATGTTCAAAACTGACTAGGGACCAGACTCTTGAGATTAAAGAAATACAGTAAAATAAAGAATTTACGCTGCTACTGCAAGCATGCAGCATGGCAGCCACCAAGAGGCTAGGAGAAACTTAAGAAACTGGAGCATGCTGAAAGATAGTGGATGCTAGGACCTGCTATGTTGAGTGCTAAGATAGGGTCAATGCCCAAGCTCCAAAGCATAAAAAACCATGTAGGAATTACTTAGAAGTAGAAAACTACAAAAAGAACATTAAATTCAATCAAGGTCAATGTTGTGATGTCTACTAAAGAATACTCACTGATACAGAAATCCGTAAGCCCCTCAAGTTTATTCAGCAAGTCCTTCACCTGCATATAAAGCAAACTGCCGCATCATTTTCACTACTTGTCAAACTGAATAACAATTTGGCTGAGATACATGTGGTTCACTGCATATGGAAAGGGTTAATGCAATAGTCCCCAAAACTATCTCGTGTTAAAATTATTAAGCACCCTAGTGCAGCTAAAAATAACATATTATTTTTTGTAAAACGCTAGTTGAACAAAGAGTGGGTCATTGATGGTGTTATCATAATGACGAAAGGACAGTGACTACTAAATACTTAAGAAATTTTTGCATTGTATGACACTTGCTCATAAGCTAAAGTATGCATACTTGATCATCATATTGACTTGCACAAAGTTATGAATTTTTCACATAAGCACCATTGAGTATGGCTAAGGCTAATACATGATAGCAACCATGCCTAATGACTCAGTTTGTTGTAAAGCCATTATCAACTTCCAATATGCACTATATGGGGCATTTTACGTGCACAAAGTCACCTTTTCTGCACAAAGCTAAAACAACTTAAGAAGGAAACAAGTTTTGCCATATAACATGTTTTATAAGATTAGGAAAAAGAATATGAAATTCTTAATATGCACAAAATTTCAAATGTTTGCCTCAACAACCAATGCCTATTACACATGTCCATTTGACATCAAAAGAAACTTCAACCAAAATACAACTTGGCAGCCTTTGAAATTAACAAAAAACACATCATCCTAAAATTCAGATTTATAAATTAATCATACAAGTAACTGCCTCAATCTCTCCTCATTCAGATATATAACACAAACAATTGACTGTTGAGGTATCATGTAATTGGCACTACGAAGCCATAAAGCAAAAGTAATAGCGAATAAAAGGAAAGTTTCCAGAAACAAGAAATCATAGACAGAAACGTGGAGGACAAAAATGGACAATAACATGCGAACAACATAGAGAACTAAAACGGAAATTCCTAAAAAATCCAGTTAAGTTATAATAATGTGTCTTCCCAGTTCAGTCTCACATTACAGGAATTTGTAAGGAGAAAACTAAACCTCATCTTGGCGCCTTCGACCTTCAAATCTAAAAGGCTTCAGAATGATAGTCACGACAAAGCCATTTGCAAGTTTTATTGCTTCAAATATATCATGCACTGTGGTAAGATCTGATCCATAAGATGCCCCAGCCACCTAGAGAAAACAAAAAAAAATGATATAAATAGATACAATAACATGAGCATATAAGAACCATGCAATTTGTCTTCAAATCCACTATATTCTTTCGCAAAGATGTGAAAAAAATTATTCAGGACGTCTACCATTATCTATAAAGCAGTTCTTCAAATCCACTATTTGCCCTTACACCTTGCTTGAAACCTTCAGGTGTCGTGTCATTGGATCTTCAAAGTTTGACCTCTCACTTCAAATAATGCACTCAGAAACCCATCTAACTACTTTCAATAACCTATCAGCAGTTTTGCTAGCAGTCTCATGTAATATAAACTTTGTAATTGTGGATATAGCAGAATAATTGGGTATTGATGCATGCTTGATGGACTAAAAAGTGTTTCACCTTTGACAGGTATATGCCATGGACCACTTGTTTCACAAGAGGCTTTCCGGCATCAGCGACCCATAGATGGATACATGGTGCCTGCTAGACCGCTAGCCAGGCTTCCACCAAGGCAAAAGTACTTGAAGATTCTAGAGGTCGGTAGGAAATTGTAGAGTTCTTCATTGTAATCTAGCATTTAATTGTATCTTGTAGTGTTGCCTACAAACTTCTAGATTGCGCACGATACATGTAGAAAGAAGAATACTTTTAAAGAATAACCTAAAAGGTCCCAGCCTCCCAGTTAATCCATGTAGCTTGAGATTTCATGTATTCTAGGATGTTCCAGACTCCATATAAATAGTTGAGTCCTCTCATTTGTAAGGTATCCAAGGAACTTTCATGGAATAAACAACGCCTTCCTACAAACTCTCTCTTACACCTCCTTTTGAGGTTCCCACATTCTTCCATCAAGTCCCTTCTCACAAAACTTCAAAGCTGACTTTTGTACTTCCAGGCCACAAAATACCAAAGGTGGCATGGGTTGTTAAGACATGAGCAATAACTCCATGGCATATAAGCCATCTTCTTATGGCTAGTAGTCGTCACCTTTTGTTGGTGACTTGGTGCCATATTACTCCTCCAAGGTACGCATTTATCATTCGTAATCAAGAATCACATTGCAACCTTGTTATTAAAATTTATTTCATTTCTATAGAATGTCTATGAGCCCTATTACCTTCCATTACCCGAATGTGTTTTAATGCAAGGAAACTACTAGAAGAATGTGCAACTTATGTAGCTCAGCTTGCGAGAGGAATATATTGGGTTTGTTTGGCTTGGTATGGTATGTAGCTCCACTTGTGGCACAACGACAAGAATGTTGCAATAACTCAACATTACATTTGCAGAACGCTAACACCTGTAAAGTTGGTATGAGAAATGTTGGGGGGGGGGGTACTCAAGGTTCTTGATGTACAGATTGTCAAGTGATATTGACCTCTCCCTACCATTGTCAAAGGTCGTCCTTGCTCATGATGGATGGGGGTAAGAGTTAGTGAAGTTTTAAAAAGTTATAGAACCTACCACATCATCAGTTCAGGCAAGTATTAAAGTTGCTCAATCTGGTAAAGCAAATGCCAAATTTTAATATCAGGCAGTCCAATATATCCTTCTATGCTACAAAATAATCTTTGGTTTATGTACTTGACAAATTTCATGTAGGTAAGAGTTAAGGAGTGTACAAACAAGTATAACAGCTTTTGAACGTGACGCCATGGCCACCGGCTCTTCCACAATTGTTTTGGTGATATCTGCAAAATGAAACATCAATAATCAGTAATAAAAGCAACTTCACACAAAGGTATAAATTTCACTGCAGCACAAGAAAGAGTGAAATGTCCATTGAAATAGAGAAGTTGTCGATTATCAAACTTACAAGAATCTTAACCTTCACTCAAATATATAATTACAACAATCTCTCGGTTATTCAAGTGAAAAAGTTCAGAATGTTAGTTAAGACGTGTTAAAAAAGTGCAAATTTATTATAAAGAACAGAAAAATAAACAAATAGCTTTTGTCTACCACTTTCAAGGATGTACAATCCAATGATGTGTTTGAATCCCCTCATTCTCTTCATTGTTCTTCATCTTTAATCTCAGAAAGCACAAATCTTTCCCAAAAACCATGAAAATTCTCTCTCTACCCTTCTTGTTCTTCGTCTTAATCAATCAGTACAAACCCTGACTAAAATCGAGAAAACCAAACTTCACAGCTCTCAATTCTCATCTTTTTTGGACCCAAACACCTAAACCCTAACTTCTTGGTCCCAAAATGCCACCACTTATTGTGGTTTGTAATGATGTTGCTTGGGATGAACTAGACCAAGTGGTGGGTAAAGGTCTTTCTAGTCATAATTACCTCTTCAGATTGGTCTGCTCAGAAGCCTATCTGGATTGTATTTGCATTTCATGGATTACATGATGTGCTTCCAATTAATTTATAGTTTAAACAAAAAAATATGTGGGACAATCAGATATAGGTCAAACATGACCAACAGAAAAACAACTTTAAAACTTTAGACAGAGCTACATAGGTGCATAAAAATAAACGTGCAAGATCTCACCGTCTCCAAGTAACCGTTGCTGTAATTGCACCTTAAATGTTTCTTCCATAATAATATTCCTGCCATAAAGAAAGAAGTATATATAATGAGTATTTACAAATTATTTTATGTGTTCTTTCACCTTAGATTTCATTTTCCCTCTTTTCATTGAGATGTCAAATATCATCTTTAAATTCAATAGGCGTGTTACCAGCGTGTTACCAGGGCGTGGAAAATAAAAGGCATTGACTGTAATGGAAATTTGATAGAAGAATCCAAAATGATATTCCGCACAAGTAGCATGAAACAACAAACCAAACCATTACAAATGAAGTCAATTATGTTGATGAGACCAGGAACTTCAATTTCAATTAGAAAAATTTCAATATTGTAAGCACATTGTCATATATAGAGCTGATGATCAAAAACAGTATTTGTTGTCCTTCATTTTAGGTGCCTTTAGAGAAAACCAACTTCAAATATCTTTTAGGTTTGAAAAGCAAGTCAAGGAGTAGGTTAGATACTGGTGGCGGAATGGAAATTTTCTTTGGCCAACATAGACTATTCTCATCGTATCTCCGGATGGTTTCTTGGCCTCTCTTCTCTAATTCCAGAAGTTCTCTTTAAGTTTTGTCTTTGACTACATATTTAAGAAGTGAAACATTATGAATGACTACGGGGATGAGACTAATATTACTAGTGTTCCATTTCACACTCTAAAACATACCATGAGGCCTTAAATAAATACTCTTTCTGAGATCAACAAGACAAGGAACCATAAATTAACATACACTTGCAAACTAAACGTAAAAATATGTTACTCCTTTAAAACAAGGAATATAGAAGTTGGTGGAATTGTATTTGTGATAAAGAACTGCTGAAATGGATTCATAATAGATTCTGAGAGAAGTGTAACTACATGAATACAAGGTAGATAGGATTATCTGGAATAAATGAGAACGAGGCGTGTGGGTTTCTTTTCTTTGAGCATTTATTCTTTTTCACAAATCATATTCCCAGCTACAGAAAAAAATGGAATATGAAACAACATATGTTGTATCATAAAACAAGGGCTTAACTTTTCGAAAATTTAAGCCAAGAGACTTCAAACTTTGAAGGACAGAAGGCACAAAGAACAACAATTAAAAAGAAGTAGGTGATGTGGTCAGCCAACAAGTGCTTTTAAAAACTTCTCTCTCTTAATTTCTGAAGTAGAAGAAATCATGATTAACTCTTCTCTTAGAGTGGAAGAGATGGAGGCATGGAGCACACCACATACCAAGAGCATTAAAAATTGGTAACTAAACAAAGAAGCAAAATTATGTAACCCCGTTTCAAGTAGCTTGATACATGCCAATGCTACAGGCAAAATAAAGGCTTGGCCCAGGGGCTTCAGAGATGGAGGCATGGAGCACATTTATACTTGGCATTCCAAGTTGGAAACTGATCATGAAAGCTTTTATGGGACATGGGAAGTAAGTTTTCTGATGACCAGAAAGTGTACTACTGAATTACACACAAAACATGCAACAAGATCATCATGAAGAATGTCTAATACTACATACCAGAACCTTAAGCATGGTGAAAGCGATGCCGAACGCAAACAGAAGTCAAGAACTGCGTCCTTCCGACTTCCAATGCCAATTACTTCCACAATCTCGGTTTCTTCCCATAAATCCATAGCCCCCTCCAGGTTCAATATTGGTGATGACGAAGAAGAATGTCTCTCGAAACTCGATTGCATTCCACGCGGCCGTTTGAAATTGCCACAAAGCTTTAATCTTCTCAAAGGGAACTGGCGATGGAATCTATAATAGCAATGGAATGAACATTTAGGGCAGAGTGAAGGTGAAGATAACCCCCGTGAAATATTGATGGCCATTGATGGCAGCTCCATTGAGAGATGCAGGAGGAGAAAGCAACGGGTTCACGAGGAGGCGTCGGCCATAACCAGAAAGCTCCCCACTTCCAGAGTTACACTAGCGGTTGATTGAGGATAGCTATGTCGCAGAATGTCAGTTAACGTGGATATCTTGGATCCAAACATATGCAACCATAAATTAGGGTTTAATGAAATGACATCAAATTGGAATTTTACTCTGTTTTGTTTTTTAGTTTAACAACTTTTGAAAAAAATGTATCAAACTTCCTTTTAAATATCATGTTGTCCAGATGAAAATTTTGAGACTATAAAGTAGTAACTTTTTTTAAAATGGGTCCTGTTTTGCCTTTGTTTACATACACATAGATATGGGAGGTGTTTAATCAACACCAGTACTTACTATATCAATACAATGATCGACCACTAAACATCCACCTGTAAGTATTCCCGACAGCTAGGTCCATCTTTGTCTATATAACCCCTCACTAATTGTCTCCTTCCCCCGTCCCTGTCACTGACCCCCATCTCCATCGACACTCCCCTCAAAGACCCTCATCGATTACCCTTCACTTCTGTAGTCATCTCCATCCCAACATCCTTCTCCAACCTAACCTCTAAACCTGCAACAAATATACACACATTGCATATATACAACATATATTATGCACACTATACACACACATACATACGTATACAACGTAGGTATCACAGCGGTACCATAGCTGGTATCACAGTGATCTTAAAGTTTGCTTTGTGTGTCTTAGGAGGTCAGAGATAGGAGAGAGTTAGGGGAGATATAAAAAAATTTAAAATACATAAAATGCCCTTTAATTATTTTAAGTCAAATTGCTAAAAATATTAGTTTCATAATTTATCCATTGATTTGTGGTTGAGATTGAATCTCACACTTATCACAAACCAATCAGTTATCCCTTAAATTGATCCCCCCCCACACACACGTATATATATATATATATATATATATATAACATTTTATTTATCTTGTAAGATATAACTTTGAATGACGTATGGAAATTAGTAATAAAATTGTTGATTCGTGAATGGGTGGTTGCAAATTTTGATTGCACTTGTTTGTTTAATCGTCACTGTACCAACACAATAACATACCAAACATAAAATATAGCTGTCAGACAGTGAGACATTCCATTTATCGCATTTTTTCGAGTCACACGATCATCCAAATATCGAAATAGTACTTCTTCTCGTATTGCCATCTTAGTTGCCCAACTCCGGCACAACTATAAAGCTAAACCTGGCCTTCAAGACTAGTTTGTATTTTATGATATTCCGTACCATACTTGTCATGTTGGGGCAACATCTTTCTCATGTGTGTTTCAACGTGAATTTTATTAAATTATAAGTAAATAACTTCACATTTCCCATCATGTTTTTTTTTGTTTCCACCAACCATGACGAGATTGTCGTTTCCCTACATCGTCGTTTTATAATCATGGTCGGTAAATAAATTATTAATGTTGGGACACGGTTTTCACTAATACTGATCCTAATAGAAAATCAACAATATTTGGGTTTTAGGCACTTATTAAAACCAGTCATAATTTTTAAATCGATTATCAAATCTGATTTTTGAATCTCTAATGCCACATAGGAATAACAATCCTTATTTGGAGGGATATAGATAATAATTTGCAGTTTTTTAATAGTTAGATTTATGGTATTAAAATATCAACCATTTGAATCAATGTTTGAATTGTACATATTTTAATTCGTTAATTCTAAAAAAATCATCATATTTGTTTTGAAACTCAAATATAAACAGTGATTAAAAATATAACTTAAAATACAAAGTTATATTACTATACTAATCGTGTAAGAAAGTTAAGGATGTGTTTGATATGTTGGATATGACAAAACATAATAGAACATGGATTATTATTTTATGTTTGACAGAACTTTTATATGTAACAAACAGAAACAAAATGAAACAGAATGGAATAGGTCTGCTCCACCCGTACCCTATACGACACAGTGGAACAAAGTGAAATAAACTTATATTTTACCAATATAACCTCAAATAAAACTTAGTTCTCTTCCCCAACGTCAAATAGGTATCCTTTTACATTTTATTTATATATATTTTTTAAGTTTTTTAAAATTTCATTTTACTGTTCTCAAAATATTATTTTTATATAAATTCTATATTTTTATTAGTTTATGTAATTTATATAATAGTAATAATAATAATGTATAAAATAAATAATATAAAAATAAAAAACTACATAATTTTTTATTTTATTTATTGAAAACTTTATAACAATATATGTTATATAAATAATTATAATATCTATACTATCTTATTAAGCAAATTTAACAAAAGTCTTAGAGTCTTAAAATACTAAATGACCAAAATACCATTTATACTACCATTAGGTCACTTTTTCACTTGTTCACCACCTCCTCTTCTCACATACACTTACCCTCTCACAACAGATTTTTTTAAAATTATAATTTTAAATTTACACTTTATACTCTTATAATTAATTAATTAATTTATTTTATGTCATTTACTTTTAAATGCTTCATTTTAAACCTTTATCAAATTAACATACATAATCGTATATCAATTAAAACATGTTTAGAAAAACACATTTTTATTTTAACAAGTTACACTATTATAATCGTCTCGTTAATACATTCGAAATGAGTCCAATCTTGAATAGTTTTTTACTTAATTATATTATTATATATTATATATACTGTGAAAAAATATTTTTAATGTTTACGATTTATACTTTTATAGTTATTTATTTATATATATGCTATACATTTTGGGATTAGGATGTCCAAATTGCACTGTATAATATGTTCTTGGGTTTTTTTGAAATATATATATACATGTATTAATTCAACCTTAATCTGAGCTTCTGGACAAGAAAGAGGGTAAGCAGTTGAAATTTCATTCTAAAACCCATCTTTTTTGGTCTTTTCATAGCTTATGATCTGTCAAATTTGTAGTTTATTGGATTTTAAACTGTCATACAATTTTTTTCATCGATAGTCTGTAATTAGAACCATAACTCTTATTTATTCAAATTGTATTAATATGTAAAGATCAAGTGTAACATATATCATCGTTAAATCTTGTCTTATAAAACCAATGAAACTTCAAAATCATTAAAATTCATGGCTCCCGCCGCATTGCACAAATACACAACTAGTTATAAATTAATCAAAATAAGGTTCCATAGTTATTCTATCTTGTCATGTACTCTACACTAAACTCACCCTAAATTAACCCGGTTTGTGCTATTTGACCCGATTACATGAGGAGGGTTTATTTGAACGTTACACATCCAATCGGGGCACACATAAACCCTACTACCGGCAAAAACAACCGTACAACTAGCGATTTCCTTTGATCAGTGTCCATCTGCCATGGCCGAGTTTGAAGTTGCAGAAGAAACGACTGACAAGAAAATCCGAAAAGATGACTCACCAGGAGAAATGAAGCCATGGGAGCAGCATTCTGCTGTGATTAGCATCCCTCGATATGATTATAAAGCCCCAACTTCCATGCTCCATCGCTCCTTCGCTGGGTTTCTCGTTACCTGCCCCATCAGTTTGTACCTCGATCTCTATCTGTGTATGTTGCGTGATTATGTGTGTAGTTGTGTACCTTGTTTATGTATTGCGTATTTGTTGTATCAAACAGTAAGAATCGAGTAATGACAATTCGTAAAGAGTAGAGTAGACAAAGATAAAATTTAATAACATAAAGGATGTTGGCTGAAACGGGTCGTTAAAGAACATATCGGGTTAAAACGATCATCCATTAACTCTAAACATGCAAGAGATATTTTAATTTACTCCCACTTTGGAGCTTTAGTTGTATGAAATCCCTCTTTTGGACTATGCAAGCGTGGTGATGAATTAAACTCTGTTTTGCAAAGAGAAATGTGTCTCCTGTTAAAGTGGTTACAATCTTTGCCCAAGGTGTAGTTTAGACTGTTTAGTAGCAATGCTTTAAAACTCAAAGATACTATTTAATAATGAAAATATAAGGAGATTTTTGTATCAAATTTCATGGAATGTTAATCTGTAACCGCCACATATAGGGAAATTAAATCTTTTATCTGTATTTTGTCATATACAATTGAATAGAAAAACGGCTTATTAGATTGATTTTTACATGGTATTAAGCAATGGCTTTAGGTGTGAATCATTAAGCCCCTACCATGGTCAGCCACCCACCCCGGCTGCATCCCTGCGACCCTGCCGTGCACTGATTTGACCATCAAAGGAAGACAGCTGTTTCTTTCTGTTACTACCGTGCGTCAGTATCCAACTGTCCATTGGGATACACTTGTATTTTGGTAGGAAAAATGTTGGACTTAGGCCAATTACAATTCAGTTGGGTAATAAGAATTGGACTTCATGGTCCACCTTTGTTTATTGTCACTTGCTAGTCATACGAAGGCCTCAAGCTAAGAAGCTCACTTCCTAGTATATGAAAATGATTTCCTGTGATCTTTTGGGAGCTTGGGTTCTACTAGTGTGTCTCATGTTTATGCAGTCTTCTAGGCATTGTGTTGATGTTCCAAGGAGATCTCTCCCTATTCGAGTAACATACATACTGTAAAAAGCTAGTGAGTGAATTTGGTGTTGCTTTCTGCAGAGTTATATTTAAGCTTAGGATAACCTAAAAGTTTTCGCACTAATAGTGGGCTACCTTTTGGCCTTGATTTGTTGCAACCTATGTTTTTTGGACACATGGGGATAATGAGCATCATGCCACCTACACTTTGACCTTGCTACAATATATGTTTACATAGTCAAAGCTATATTGGAAGAGATGCAGGATGATAGTTGAACAAGGTATTGGAAAAGATGGAGGATGATAGTTGAGAAATTAGTGATGGTTGTAAAGATTTATTTGGGATGTCACAAGCTAGGTTGTATGGAAATGATGTGTAGAAAGTTAAAAATGAGCTCATTCTGGTCCAGCTATTGGAGCACATACTGTTTCCACCCAGCGGCGCAATTTGGTGCAGAGGATCTCAATGAGATTCACACTTTCCAGGCTTTTGTCATGACACTTCCACTTGTTTTGCTCGTTTGCTTCAAGGTGGAAAGCCAGAAAGTAGATATGGTTATCGATGATGTCACCATCTACACATCCTTGATTCCTCATGTAACATCTTTGTATCCCTGTAGGAAGTGTGCTGGTTCAAACACAAATTCCAATCTTCATTCCATAGTGTTCTTCATATAGCTGCATTTCTATCCAGATGATTTTCTGTTTGTATGAATAATTACCAAAGATACTAATTATTCTATAGCACTGTTTCCTAATTGTTGCTTGCTCAATAGGTGGAGACTTCTTGAACAATTGGAACAGGATAAATACTCCATGAGTTGCTTGGATTACCGAGGATTAAAAATTGTCTTTGGTTTGTGTTGTGAGTCATGGCAGATTGTTAAGCACATTTGTTTGTCTTACCCACCTAGTATCTTTAGATCTGCTCATATTTTAAAAAATGCCACAAGTATGTTAGAGGTTCTTGCTCTATTGAAATGTTTGAGATTAGTGCTCTGTTGAAATGGTTAGTGGCTTTGATCAGTATGTTGAAATTTAACTTACGACCTTCGTTTTTTAATCCTTCTTTCTATTTATTATTGTTACTATTATTTGTTTATATGCAAGTGAAATTGTACATCTTGGCCACTAATGTGGTTTTACATTCACCACAATCATGCATCACTAGTTATCTCATAATCTTCAAGCATATGTTAACATGTCAGAGTGAAGTTACTGAGATTGAAATTTGATCTTTTTTTTCAGAGAGAGAGAAAAGTGCCACTAAAGAAGCCATGTCCATCCTTTACAAGGTTTGGTGGCTATTCTTATATATTTATATATGTTTAGACCAGTATGAACGATGAATTTTGTCAAATTAGAAGCTTAGTAACTTAAAATCCTATGAAGATCCTTTGGGTGGGATGAACCATTGTGTTACATGTCAAAGTTATAATTTTTGTACTCAAGCTTAAGCTTTTTGTATATGTTAACTTTCTAGTGGTGCGGTCTTTTTTGCCAATCGACCATAGTCTGCAATCACGTTCTGTTTCTATTTGATGATGGAGTGACCCGGTGTAGTGCAGCGGGGTCCTTGACATTGGGAAGTCTTTGTACATGATATTTACATTGCAGTTTTGCTAAGAGCTGCAAACCCTTGATCCTCTGCTTACAAGGAGTAATCTATCAGTTGCTCTTAGGCTTGCCACTTCTGTTTCTACTTGATAATTGATTGAGAACTTGTAATAGAACAGTTAACCAAATAAGAAGTAAAAGTTGGGATATCATGTTGTGAGCTTGAAATAAAGAGGCTCTTTTCATCCTAATAAACGTTGGAACATTGTTGTATGGCTATGTTATGTAGCAAGTCATTGTGTAGCTTGTCTTATTTTGCCAGTATAATCTACTTGGATATGGGTGTATTATTTGGGTATACAAGATGCTGGTTGTGAACTTTAAAGATGCATCAGAGCTAATCCTAGCAGAAGTAGGAAGCTCAAATTATGGGAGCATGAAACTAAATAGTTACTATTCAGGCACCACCATCTTTGTTACCAATTTAGATGAGATTGTAACTTGATAATAAAAATGATTCTTGAAATCATATGTTCCAGCATTTGATCTATTCATTAACTTCTGAAAACAATAAATATGTTGATTAGTGTTGTTATTGATTGTGCATAATAACTATGGTTGTATCTACTGAATCAATGCATTCATATCCGTTTTGTATTTTTTAGATTTCACTACGACTTCGTAACTAAATCTAAAATTTTGTGCTAGTGTTACTGTTAATCATAATCGTTTAATCTTAAAGTGAAATTCTAAATGGATATGCTTATTAAATATTTGAATTGCAAATCCTCAATATCCTACTGCCCTAAGGAAATCACATCTCTCCTTGAACAAGAACACAAAGTTCATTGATACTAATTTAACAGAATTCCCTATGTTATCCTTATGGTGCAATGCTTCAAACCAGCAATACCATGTTACCAAGATGGGAAGAGCACTTAGAATGTATCTTTTTAGTTTTTGTATTCTTATTTTGTATTGTAGAGGAACATACTATCTAAAGCAGTATGATATGGGAGCAAACTAGGTGGACAGTGAGGATGTATACTTACAATAATGTGAAATAGGATCTGCTCTAGGTATTTCTTAAGAGGTCATACTTATTATCTATATACTATATTATAAAGCATTTGACAAAAACTCTTAAAAACCATTTTTTATGCATGAAGTACTGTTTATTGATGCATATTACTTAAAATTTAAGATTACAAGTAAATTATTCATATGTACAACTTATTAAAGCTCCATGTTTGAATTTGTGTAACTAACTACAGATAAACATAATCCAATTCTGGATAATTATCTCATTTTAAATATAAAAAATCTAAAATATATTTAGGATAATCATTGAATTCAAAATATTAAATATTATCTTTATAAAAGAATTATATTATTAAACTAAAAATAAATGACTTCATTATTAAATCTAAACTAAATTATAATAAAAAATAGAATTAAAGAAATTATACAAAAAACAAGAACTTTTAAATATTTAATTTGATTCAAAAATCGATATATGTTTTTCAAAATTTTATGATATCTCCAAATTTATATTTTATTCAAAAAATAAAAACAATGTCGTTTTTTCGGTACCATATAAAATCGTATTATAACATCGACGGAGACAGAATAAAATGAAATATTAAAATCGAGATGTATCTCGCTGCATTGATCGAGTACCCTTCTAGTTATGACTAAAGCATGTATGTGTTTTATATATTTCTTTCTATCTTCGACGAAGGATCGTGCGAGAATAGGAGTTAAGGTGAGAAGTGTAGAAGGGAACTGATCCAATGTATCTCATTACACTTGATCTAGTGTTTCTCTTCAATCAAGATTGATCCAAGGGTGGAGATCCCTTCTTATCCCTTCTCACCATAAAACTTTCATTCTCACCGGAACCCATCCCTCTATCCTCAAAGCTTTACAATGTTATGTTATTGATTCTAGCTGTAGCAGAAAGAGGTCGGCTTTGATAAACACTTGCAAGTTGTAAAGGGAACTAATCCTAACACTAGAATCTGATTCATTTGGTCATTGTCATGTTTATAATTTAGTTATGTGCTTAGTCAAATGGCATAGTAAAACAATTGAGCTTATTTTTTGTTAGCGTATTTGTTGGGGGACCAAGAGAACATGAAAGAAAGAAAAGAAGAACTAGGCATATTGTAGAATAGTTCTCTAAGCATGTCAAATTCCACAAATGGACCTATCGAAGATTACAAAGACGCCAAAAGAAGCATCGTGTCCCTCACAAAGATGGTCAGGGATTTTCTGATCTTTTAACATGGCAATATCTGCATGTTCCTGGAACACCATTCAACAAGAAAAGATCTTTCCTTCATATCTTACTCTAAGGCCTCTAGGTCTGGTTAATAGCCACGTCTCTATTGATGCAATTCATTAAAAAACTTCACTAAAGCTAGAAATAACTTGCCAGATATACCAATCACACAACCAAGGAGGCAAGGAAAATGATATATACATTAGTGGTAGGAGCTTAGTGGGTAAATAGGTATTTGCAAAGCCTATATGGTAACTGGCATTTCTGCTTTTGCATTGATACTCATCTTTATTAACAACCATGAATGTGTTAAATGATATATGAATCTCTGTTGATATGGCACTAAAGGTGGTCACGATCTATTTTGTTGCAGTATGTTGGGTCGATAAATACTTGCAGTTCTGAAGGAGAGGAAGACCCTCAAAATGTTGTTCCGAAGAGAAGGAAAGTAGTTGTGAGTGAAGCAAAGGAGGAATGCACCAAGCATACAGAAAACAAGATTTTGGATGAAACCACTGGTAATTACTATGAATCATAAACTTTTTTAGATTGTTCTGATTCTCCTATTTGTATTCATGTCAAGATTCCTGAACATGTTAAGTATGTTCCCGTTTTCAGCTAGGCTTGACATATGCCAAACAATAAGTGATAAAGGGAACATTTTTAAGCCGTGGATTCCACAAATATGTGAATATTATAAAAATAAAACCTTGTGATTGCAGGTGCTAAAGAGGTTTCAGAAGGTTCTTGTTTGTCCTCTTCGAAATCAGATGCAAATATAGAAAGATCTGACCCTCTTTCGCTGGTTAAGCTGACAAAGAGTGGTTTACTTCTCCTTACATTTTCATGTGGCCATTGTCCTGATGTCGTGGACATTGTGTCAAACATCATGCAGTCTTTGGAATCTGGAAGTTTAAAAGCACCACTGTAAGTGGTTTATTGGTAAAGCTTTTCTCTTATAACATAAGTATGTCTTCGACACAGATGTTATACCCTTTTATGAAGAGATAATAAACTCTTCCTCTCACTTACAAAGTGAAGCTCTTTAATACAACGATTTTTGAGTTATTGTCGACAATCATGGAGTTTCTTACCTTCATTTTGGTGCACCTATTTTAGGAATGTCTATAATTTGTTATAAGTTGAGTAATCTTAGTATCAAGTTAACTTATTAGTCATGTCCTCCATTGGCCTATCTTATTGATCATGTATCCTTTGTATTTGCAAGGAGCATGCTTCATTTTTTCCCTCTCATTATTCTTGTGAATATTATGCTTTTGAAATATTTTAATTAAAGAGAGAAAAGAAGTTGAAGATATCATATCTTGGTGGGCATATGAGCCTCAACAAACAAACAAAAACCCGCTAACCCGCCCAACCTGACCCAAAAATAGGCCAAGATGTGAGCAATGGTCCACCTTCCGGGAAGGTGGTCTAGGGGCACATGTAGAGGCCTTTTGGGAGTTTGGGTGATCTCTTCACTTGACAGTTTAGGTGTTCGAAAATGGGTCATTATTAGTCTAAATCCCTGTGTTTGATTGAAGTTGCTTCTCATATCTCAAGAGAGGAGCATTCATAGGTTGCATGGGTGAGTGGGACCATGACAATCATGTCATTTTTCTTGGATTTTTGAGGTCATGGCCTTTTGAGGTCTCATGGCTAATGCAAAGTTTATAACTACTTGGATCTTACTTATTTGGCTTGCATTTCCAGCCTTAACTCCTCTATTATTGATATCTTTCACCATCATTATGTCTATGTTCGTGTTCTTGCTATGCACATCTTGTGTACATTTGGCTTTTGGTGGCCACACCTTTCTTCCTCACCAATATGTGTCTCATCACTTACAATTTTGAGAAAATCCACGAACTCTGCTATAAGAATTTTAATGATATATACAATGCAGGTTTTGCGTATTCTTGTTGTTCATAGAGGTTGTGCAAACATTAGTGGTTTTGCTAAGAATCTGCAATGGTTATTTCTTTTGTTTCAGTTGGTGCCATAGGATTTTACCTATCCAAACGACTTGTGTTTTGCACGAGAAAGAGCTGTGCACTCTGGTTTCCAAGCTTGTTGCAGACTTCATGAATAATGAAGGAAAGGAACTTGCCCGACCTATAAAGGTACAACTTAAAAGGTTTTAGAGTAAATTACAAAAATCATACCTGTCGAGGTTGTTGTTATATGAAAATTATGGATTAGGCCTCTTAAACGGAATAATTACATGTATGGTCACTGTGGTTTCACTTTACTTACGGACAAGGTTTTAAAGTACGGAAATGTGAGGAGAGTCGTTCTCTCGATATGAGGCGAGGCGGCCTGAGGTGTAAGCCACGAGGCAGAAAACAAAAATAATTCAGAATAAATGTATCTATACTATATTATAATGCATTTGGCTAAAACTCTTAAAAACTCTTAAACTCTTAAA